ATTATGGGGTTAATACAGAGCAGAAGGGGGGTTAAGGGTAAAGCCAGGGAAAGAAAGAGGAAGAAAACATTTGACCTTCATACTAATTGGATAAGGTGAGATATGACGGCTAATTTAGGGAAGGAACATGCTGATAATTTAACTGCTCAGAGGAAGAGAACTTAGATCCTAGCATCCCTCCGTTGTGCCTGTGCCGACATTTTGTAACAACAAAAGACCTTTAGGAAAATAAATGCTTGGAATGTTTCATTAGCCGGAACCACAACAGTAGGTGCAAGTGAAAAACGGGAAGTTCCTCAAGGCAAGGCAAGGAAGAACGTACTCAGTCAATAACCTTTATTTTATTCCACATGGTAAGGTATTAAATGATTACACATAACAGTTAACAATCATGTATATTTCCTTTAAAAACATGGATCTTTTAGGGTTTTTTCCCCCTCTAGGACAGAGACACAAGGTTGATGGCTCTGCTATGGCTTCCTTGCATACTGAACTCCCAATTTACCACCAGTTAAGGAGATGCTTTTTTCCTGCCGTGATTTCAGGAAACTGAGGCATCTGACTTTGTCTGTAGGAGGCATAAATTTCCATAGGGCACAGCCTGAAGGGGCAAGAGAAGGCAATGTCCGTCTCTTCCAATGTTCAGAAATGCTTTGCGTGTCATCAGCAAACTTTGGGTTAGGACTATTGAAGTTTTTGGTGGGATCTGGATCTTCTCCCAACCCCAGGTTGCAAATGCTACATGTGTGAAAGATAAACTGTGGGAAGAGAGGAGCATTACAATTCAAAATAAAGGTATCACCCAATAGGACGGGAGTGTGGTGCAGACTCTCACCTTTTAAATATTATTAACATATTTTTAAAGATATTAATAATTGCAAGTAGCTTCAATACAACAAAAGGAAGGAAGGGGAAACAAATGCTCTAATTTTCATTGTGTTAAACACAATTTATCCACATGCTGCAAGACTCCCCTCCCCTAATCAATTGCCATTCTGTTTAAAATTAGAAAACAAAACAAAACGAAAGCTACTTCCACACACACAACTTCTAAGCAGAGTTAGGAATTGGGATCCTTCAACAACAACAATATTTTTAAAAAAGATTTATATTATTTTAACAAGTAAAAGACCCAAAAGTAGTTTTTTTTTCAGTTAAATACTCCATGAGCCAAAGAAAGAATCTTTTGTACAAGCTATTGTGCATCTCTTTCTTTTTTTTTAAAAAAAGCATACGATAGTGCAAAGCAACAATAATAACATCCACAAAGAAACCTGGGCCAAATATTGGACCAGTTGCATAAAAGGGATGTGTGTGTTTTTCACATCTGGGGACAACAGTCTGTCATAAACCTGATAGAGTTTGGCTGCAGTTTGTAAGTTGCAACTAGCAAGAAATTACAATAAGTACACTGTCTCTTTCAAATTTATCTGTCTCTTTCAATATCCTATAAATACATCTTTGGAAAACAGATTATGCTACTTTGCTCATTTGAGAACATGTTCGCTACCGTGCTTCTGGCCCTCACTCCACACAGCACTTTAACTAAGATTTGGAGTTTATACAAGGCTAAATGCATCCCTGAGTGTAGAAAGGCCACCACCTCCACTTTGCCCCAATCGGAATTTGAAACCAACCCCTAATCTGATCTTCCAGTTTTGCCAGTTGAAAAACATGGGTGCAGAGTATACCTCTTAGATCAGTGTTTCTCAAACATGGCAACTTTAAGACATGTGGACTTCAACTCCCAGAATTCTCCAGCCATCAAAGATGGGCTTCAATTCCCAGAATCCTCCAGCCAGCCATCTGTTGCTAAAGTTGGGAAAGACTATCTTAGATAAACCATGGATCTCAGTTAAAGCAAAGGGCCAGATTTAGGAGAAACCTTTCAGTTTCCTGGGTGTTCCAAACAAGCTCTCGTGAATGAATGACCCAAAACAATTTTGAAAGATCCAGTCATGGTTGTTTCAAGGCTAAATATTTCTGAGGACCCAAGGGTGAACACACTTCCAAGATTCCTGATGATGTCCATCACCTGCAGGAGGTTACAAAAGGGGACCTGAGGCAGAGGGCAGTCATCCTAAACCAGTGGTTCTCAACCTTTCTAATGCCGTGACCCCATAATACAGTTCCCCATGTTGTGGTGACCCCCAACCACTTATACATCACCGGGTGCCAGGGGCGTGGCCAAAGGGGGGAAAATGGCAGACAGTCTTGTTTGGCGACCCCCGTGAAATGGTCGTTCGACCCCAAATGGGGTCCCGACCCACAGGTTGAGAACCACTGTCCTAACCACTGTGTGCTGTCACAGTTGGTAAATGGCAGAGATGCCTGCAAGGAGGCGGAGGGTCAAAAAAACCAAGATGGCGTCTACAGTTACACCATCAAAACCCTGCCCTTTTCAAACATGTGTTGTGATGCACATCAAAAAAAGGGTGGGGCTTTACTGGCATGGATGTAGCCACCATCTTGACTTTTTTGACCCATCCTTGGTAAAGTGGGAAAAGTGCAGCTTTCGATGGATGTCAATCCATGGAGAAAACAAGACAGACATGATGTTAAGTGGCAAACCCAAGACTTGGTCTGTTTGCTAGAAAAAAGAAGGAAACGGGCAATTCACATGTGACACACTTGGCAATTTTTCTCCCAGGTCTATCTGCAGATCCTGTAGGATCACCTTGACCACCCGACACCCTCTAGATCTGCTGGACTCAATCCTCATAATTTTTACCCGAAGGGATTCTGGCTCAGAATTTTGGTAGTTTACCAACTTAAACATTTGGAAGGTTCCAGGTTGCAAAAATCCAGATGAAGCTCTGCTTAATAAAGGTTATGTGGTGTCATGGAGGTTTAAGGTTACACCTAAGGACAAATAGGTAATATCTGATTCTCTCCCCCCCCATCCTCCTTTTTTTTTTAAAAAAAAAAGAATACAATCCAGTTGTTACTCAGATTTTTGACTCCAACCTTAGGCAAAACACACCGGTTTTTTTATTAGACTGAAAACAACCATGAGGAAGAACAGAGCAGTCTTATTTAAATCATTACCAAAGCTAGCGATTAATTTTGGGTGGTGCACTAGGATTGAAAAAAAAAAAAAACAGCCAAGTATTTCCTGTCTTCCTCTCCCACCCAAGAACTCTGTGCTCCGTGTTTGTGTGTGTTTGTGTGTGTGTATGAGAAAGAGAGAGAGGGGGGAGGGAGGGAGAGGGAGGGAGGGAGGGAGGGAGAGAGAGAGAGAGAGAGAGAGAGAGAGAGAGAGAGAGAGAGAGAGAGAGAGAGAGAGAGAGAGAGAGCCAGCTTTTTGAGCTGTGTAAAATGTAGCAATGGGATGAGTTACAGCCATTGCACTGGCTTAACTGTAGAAACTTGGATTCCTCTCTGAACACCTCCAAGGATCTGTATCTTGATGCCTCTTTTAAAAAGAGAACTAGCAGAATATTTATTCACACAACTAATACACCCGGATTGTCAAGAATAGCCTTCTGCAGGAGATGCCTTGCCTGGCTTAGTCTCTGGACCAGATGCTGAATTTGGATTTTTAGATCAACTGCCGTCCTATTTCATGAAAGCAGTAAATTTGGGTCTGAGCCGCAGTGTGTCAATCTCAGCAGAATGCTAAAAGGGGCTTTTCGCCTTGCATGGGGAAGAGGATCTGGGCGAGGTGACCAAGTGTCATCCTTTCTTTGGTTGCACAGAGTCTTAGTATCCTGATGTCTCTGAGACAAAAAAAGGGGGGGCTTGGAAATGAGACTCTTTTTAACTCTATCTCCATCTCACTAGGACTGGTGGAGACCAGCCACCATTGCTTGCACGCTCTGAAATAGTCAGGAGTAAGGATGTGGACAATGGGACGCTTGGTTAGCACCAAATACTTCCTTCCACTTTCAAAAACTAGAGAGCTATTATTGCTTGAATAAGTGCAAAAAAGAGCTACGACCCAACCAGAAATCCCGTCCTTGTTTAGCTCTGCTCACTTATAGCAAAGCTGTTTTGTATCAACTCAGAGACCTTGATCACTTTGCTTCTGTCTGCTCTGATAGCGATCACTAATGACTCATCCAACATGCTCAACTTGGTTCCTGAATTAAAACGTTTTCTTGGAACCGAAACCATACATTCACCAGATGACCTGGATTCACACAGCCACAAAACCTCTAATCAAGATGAACACAATTTAGTAAATGGTACAAAGGCAGCTACGAATTTTTAACGTGAAGCAGGAGAACTTAAAGTGAGTGAGATCTCTTTTGCTAGAGGCTCTCCAACAGTAGCTAGATGGTTGTCTTCATGGATGGCCTCTTGGGTTTTGCACTAAGCAGGGGTTAGACCAGGGGTAAGCAACCTTGGCTCTTTTATGACTCGTGGACTTCAACTCCCAGAATTCCTGAGCCAGCCATGCTGAGGGGAAAGGGAGAGGTTTCCAAGCTGAGCCATGCTGGCTCAGGAATTCTGGGAGTTGAAGTCCACGAGTCGTAAAAGAGCCAAGGTTACCTACCCCTGACCTAGAGGAACATATGAAAGCATAATTAATGTTAATTAATGTAGACTTTGTTAGTTTAGAGCAGGGGTAGGCAACCTTGGCTCTTTTACGACTCGTGGACTTCAACTCCCAGAATTCCTGAGCCAGCATGGGGGAACTATGGCCCCTTCATGACTCATGGACTTCAACTCCCAGAATTCCTGAGCCAGCCATACTGAGGGGAAAGGGAGAGGTTTCCAAGCTGAGCCATGCTGGCTCAGGAATTCTGGGAGTTGAAGTCCACAAGTCATAAAAGAGCCAAGGTTGCCTACCCCTGGGTTAGACTATCCCACTTCCAACTTTAAGACACTATGATTCGGTGTTTGGGCAACCCCCCCTGCATATACAGGTAGTCCTCAACTTACGACCACAATTGAGCCCAGAATTTATGTTGCTAAGTGAGAAATTCGTTAAGTGAGTTTTGCCACGTTTTATGACTTTTCTCGCCAGGTTTAGTTAAGCAAATCACTGCAGTTGTTCAGTTGGTAACGATGGTCGTTAAGGGAATTTGGCTTCCCCATTGACTGTGTCATAAATGTGAGTCAGTTGCCAAGCATCCAAATGTAAATCACCACGTGAGTGACCATGGGGGTGCTGTAACGGCCGTCAATGTGAAAAACGGTTCTAAGTCACTTTTTTCCAGTGCGGCTGTAACTTCAAACAGTCACTAAATGAACTGTTGTAAGTCGAGGACTATCTCTAAATAGGTAACTTTCCCGGTGTTATCTGGGATGCTGTCTAGCTCGCCTTAGGCGGCGAAGACAAAAGGCTGGACTTGGGACAATCAGAACATACTGTATGCTCTGCTCCTAAAGTGTTAAGTCGTCCACAAGCCGTTGATTTGAAAGGGCCCAGTGTTACAAAACTGATGGGGAACTTTTCTGCCTGATCAAGAAACTCGGGCCGGTTTTGATTCCTGACCACAAGGAATAGATCAAGACCTCTACATCCTTTACGGATGAAAAGGAGCAGCCCAAAGAATCAGGCAGACACACCTACTCTGATTTGAGAACCGACTAATTTCTGGAATTTCACGTTCACAGAACAAATGAACCCCAATGGGTTGTGTTCACCCAACATGTGAAGCTGTGTGCATACAACCCTTCCCAAAAGCAATGATCCTTCCAAAAAACCAAGATTAAAATATTCTAACTCTCTGCGTTGTGCAATTTGAAGCTGCTAGGGTTTGTAAGTGATCTGGTTAAGTTGGTTGTGTGAATCCATGACTTGAGTTAGTAGAAGATTTTTTTTTCTTCCTTAAGAGCAGCTTTTGATAGGACAGGAAAGGGTTCTAACTAGCTTTGTCCCCTGCTGGGCTGTTCTTCTCTACCCAGGTCTTTTGTGGAAGAGGCTGACATTTGGAGCCCCCCCAATGTGTATGTCAGCTGGATGAGACTTACTTTCTCAGCAAGAAGCAGACTTATGCTTCTTGATTGGAGAAGCACCCATCAGTTGGTCACCAATTCATAAGTAGCTAGAAAGAGATGGAAAGAATGGATTCACTCTCCATCTCTGGGGCAGATGGCCATCAGCATTCCAGCTTGTTGGCTCCTGACGGGGAGATTGCACCTTTCTACGCTTATGACTTATCTAGGGATATCAGAACGAGGGTTTAAAAAGCCAGCTCAACATCTTAATGGGAAAAAGTGGGACATCCAAAATGCTTCAGCTCAAATTCAGAAGGAGAATCCTGACCCAGGTCCCAGGGAAGAAAACCACACTTGTACCGTATATTTTTTCGTGGGACTGAAATGGCATAATCTTTTCACGTGTTCTGTATAGGATCTGTTGGATTCCCATTCTATCACCAAGCTTTGTCTTCTGCCCTGGGTTTTTTTGTTTGTTTGTTTGTTTTTTGTTTTGCTCTTACCTCCTCTTAGAGAGGAGAAAGTGTGCAGTGCAAAACAGGAAAACATTCTGATCTTAACTTCAGTCTGACCTGGATTCACAGACCTCTGCCATCAGCTCCATTATTTGAGAGACCTTTGATCCATCATGCATCCATGCATCCATCCATTCATTTGAAACACTGCTTGGCCTTTGAGATGATTGCTAAACACAGCTTTCTCTAAGCAGGCACTCTCTGGATGTGTTGGATTACACCTCCCATAATCTCCAAACTGGCTGGGGATACTGGAAGGTATTATTTGACCTATCTGGGAGGCATCGAGTTGGAAAGGCAGAACTTTTTGTGTTTGGCCATTTACAACCAAGTAAAGTATTTCTTTTCTACCCATTCTTTTGTCTGTTCTGGACACAACAGACAGTCTTTCGTGGCTGAGAGCCACCAAGGTGTGTGCAGGTAACAACTCCAAGTAGTCCCAATCCACCTGGATGCCCCAGGCAGACCATTTGTTGAGAAGAACCCGTGAAGATTTGTTTCGAAATGAATCCCAATTCATGCTATTGCTAGCCTTCCTGTGCTTGTTTTATTTCTTATGATCGATGTTTTGGACAAGAACGATCTCATTTGGGATGCCAACGCCACTTTGGGGATGGAGTGGACAGGATCACCAGTTGCAGCTCTTTTTTGGTTCTTCTCTCCTTTGAATCACCAATTTCTGAAGAACATGGCTTGGCCTTCAGTCCTTTTTCAATATGGTCTCCAGACAGCTTCGTCCATTCTCCCAGTTGTTGTCATGGTTGTCGGGGAGTTACTATGGCTCCCGTCTGCTTCCACACCATCAGCCTGACTGGTGAGACTGGGATTGATCAAGTTGTTTCCTGCTGTGGCACTTGGGCAAGAGGGCAGCATCCGGGTTGGCGAGCGCTCTCCTCCTGCCACCATGGAGAACTGGTATGACCCGGAGGATGCACCATAGTACAAGTGGTAGGGGGAGGGATTGGTCTGGAAAGGTCCACTCTGGTTTTGGGTGGAGCTGGGGTACGGTGGGGGAAGGTAGGTGTGGTGGAACCTAGTGGCTGTTGGCATGCTGGTCATACTGAGGCCACCGATTCCTGTAGCCGATGGTGTCGCTGTGTAAGGGAAGGCCGCAGGCATGGCACCAGGGTAATGCATTCTTGGATCTGGAAACCGGGTCTCGGTAAGGCCTGGTAGAGCAGAGAAGGACCGATCAAACTGCCGTGGGTCAGAGAAGGGGCTGAGTTCAGAGGTACCTGATTTTGGAAAGAGAGAAGAGGAGAGAGAAGAGGAGAAGCTGTTATGTTGGATTTCTTTTGCAGCAAATTGCATCTATTTCAGGGCACAAGGAACAGCAGCACCAAGTCTGCAAATGCAGTGAGGTTTAAATGACTGGTTTTAATAGCTGGGTGAGTTAAAGATCTAGAGCAGGGATCTCCAAATTTGGCACCTGTAAGACTTGTGGATTTCAACTCCCAGAATTCCCCAGCCAGCGGGAAAACAGAGTAACATCTAATAAGAACTAATACTTAGTTTGAGCAAAAAGAGGAAGAAAGAAAGATGTACGAAGGCAGAAAAACAAACAAAAAATTATGGAGAAGTGACTTCTGATTTTTATTTACAGCAGTTGTAAGTATGAATATAAATTAACTGCTTACTCTATGGTTACAGCGTTGCTTACATTTTTCTACAATCTGTTATATTTATTCCAATAATCAAAACCATAACCACAACTTCATTTTTCCTGTTTCTTGCAAAAAGTCAATGCGGTAAGAGGTTTTCAGTCGTCATTAAACTTAAGACAATGCCTTAGCTCTAATAAAGCAGTCAACCTGGCCATCTCAGCAAATCCTATTATCTTATGCTGGGAAAGATGGAGGGCAAGAGAAGAAGGGGACGACAGAGAATGAGGTGGCTGGATGGAGTCACTGAAGCAGGAGGTGTGAACTTAAATGGACTCCAGAAGATGGTAGAGGACAGGAAGGCCTGGAGGAACGTTGTCCATGGGGTCACGATGGGTCGGACATGACTTCGCAATTAACAACAACAACATTATCTTCCCATCCCTCCATCCCTCCATGGTGGGTAAGCTTGAGTCTTTCCACAAATCTTGGCCCTTTTTAATTTGATGGGAGACACTTGGGAAGCTTTATAAGGTAACATGGAACCTGAAGACTTGCAGAGACTAAAAGCTTCTGTTTTCTCCCTTAAGACCCCACTCCTTATCTCAAAAGGGGGGGGAAGCAATTTGATCCCCAAGAGAAGAGTTGTTGGGATTGTGAGGAGTTTTAATTTTCAGCAGTGTTCAAAGCATTCATGATGCTCCTTCGATTCCTCCAGTACCAACAATGACCTCCATATTTTTGCCCAACCCATTTTGAAGATGTTTTCAGGGGCTGCAAAGAGGTGGTGGGATGGGGCTGTCCGTGAACTGCAGATTACGGACTCAGATTTCAGAGAACAAAATAATTCCGTGTTTGTTAGAATGGCTTCCAATTGGCTCTCAATTGTTTGATGTTGGGCTGATCTTTGGTGGTTTGATCAGGTATGGATTTGGGGGGGGGGTCAGAGCTGTGTTGGCAGCCCCCTTTTGTGAGCAGACAGAGTAAATATTTTGAAAAGCAAGCAGAGATTGAGATGGGCGTCACTCAACAAACCACTACAAGTAAAAATACAGCCAAATTCTGGCTTGGCCTGCCTGCTGGTCAAACCCACCCATAACTGGGGTGGAGGATTTGCTGCAATAGGTTAACTTCTCCCCCAGGTTTCTGCCAGTCCAGTTATAAACCAGAAACATGACTGTTTAGCTATTCTCCAGAGCTGCGTAGCACACAGACAACACAGCAGCGAATCCTAGCGCTCACCAGCCCATCTGCTTTGGCACACACAAAGGGGGAGACATGGAGGAAGTCTGGAGACCCCGCCAGGTCTGGGTGGTCTGTTTGTACTGAGGGACGGAGCTGATAAACACACAATTGAAAGCTTGCTTACTGTGGGTCATGTTATTTCTAGGGTAGGGTTTTTTTTGACCCAGAGAAACGGCCGAAAGGAAAAATGAATGAGGAAAACGAAGTCTCTTCCTTCTGCACAATGCTGTTTCTTTGGCAAGAGAGGAAAAGCAGCTTGACTAATTTTGGCATTTCCTCCCAACCTCCAGGAGTGCCGGAGGTGCTGGCATCTGTAGGATGGGTGAGTCAAAATTAGCAAAATGGTGGATGGAGCATCATCTGAAAAAAAAAAAAAACCCAGCAGGTTTAACCCTCTCTGTGGACACCACTGTGTTTTATCTACTTTAGCTGAGAAGATGGTGAGATGAAGGCATCCTGTTTAATTTCAATTACAGGTAATCCTCAACTTAAAGTTGGAGCCAGCATTTCCAGTGCTAAGCAAGGTGGTTGTTAAGTAAATCGCATCTGATTTCATGGCCTTTTTTGTCACGGTTGCTAAACGAATTATTGCAATAGTTAAGTGAATCGTATTGCTGTTATTAACCAAATCCAGATTCCCCCACTGACTTTGCTTGTTGAAGCCAATTCGGAAGGTGGCAAATAATGATCACGTGATCTCAGGATGCAGCAGCCATACTGAATGCATGCTGGTTGCCAAACGCCTGATCATGTGACCGTGGATACGCTGTAATAGTTATAGTTGCAAGGACCAGCTGTAAGGCACTTTTTTCAATGCCGTTGTAATTTTGAACAGTCACTAAACAAATAGTTGTAAGTCAAGGACCAGTGGTGGGATTCAGCCAGTTCACACCGCTTTGGCAGAACCGGTAGCTAATTTTTTGTTTTCCAGGCCCAGAATGGACTTCTGGAAACAGCATCTACACAGAGAACCGGTTGTTCACATATTTGAATCCCACCACTTCTTCCTTCCTTCCTTCCTTCCTTCCTTCCTTCCTTCCTTCCTTCCTTCCTTCCTTCCTTCCTTCCTTCCTTCCTTCCTGTGGTAAGATTCAGCCGGTTCGCACCACTTCAGCAGAACCAGTAGCTAATTTTTTTTTTGCCCAGGCCCAGAACGGATTTCCGGAAGTGGCATCCATGCAGAGAACCAATTGTTCACATATCTGAATCCCACCACTGTCAAGGATTAGTTGTAATAATGGATCCCAAAACATCCCATAATGGATCCCAAATGTATTTTTAAAATACGTTTGTGGAGGGAGATAATGGGTAGCTGATTCCTCCAAATTTATCCAGATAAATTCTGAAAATCCTTTCCACTTAGGCTGAAGGGTTAATCACTCAAAGGAACTGAGAAATGCAACTGGAGCTAGTTTATTCTTTCCTTGATTTTGCTTCTTCTCTCATTCTACGATGCTCTCCACCATTGACATTGCAATTTTCCAAATCAGTCCAGGATCTGGAGTTGTTTTATAAATTGTACTGGGAGTTTCAACACTGTTCATCAATTTACGTCATTAATCCCAGCCGCTTCCAGCTAGATATTAAAGACAACAGACCAATTCGCTGTCTAGATACAAGGAATTTTCTAATATTTCCATGTAAAAGAAATATCTTAAGTAAGCTACGAAAGAATTAATCCAGATCCAAGATATTTTGTTTTGTTTTGTCTGCAATTAGAGATGCTTGGAATGAAATTAAAAGATTTTCTGCATGTTCTGTCATTCTACTAAAGACTCTTCAACCTTAACCCATTTCCCCCCCCCCCTTCTTCTTTCACTTCCACGGTAGGCAGAAAACGAGATTTAACCAATTATTTGGAGACATCTGGAAATCCAGCGATGGATCTGAAGAAAATTACTTCTTGTTTAGCCCGTGGGTCTTTTAAAACTATTTTTAAAGCAAAAATGAAAAAAAAAATAGATCTCAAATGGATGCTTGGGAAGAAACTCTTAATGTGTTGCACCCAACACGTTCCAACAATTATTTTCCTCAGAGGCAAAAAAGCATTGCCTCTTATCTCAGGTGCACGGGCAACCCTTCACCTGGATCCAAGCCGACAGTATAATTTTTGTCTTCCATATACCCTGAAGACATTCCTTTTCTGTAGCAGCAATTTCAGATCGAACGTTTTCTAGTTAAGGTGCCCACTTTTGCTTTCCTAGTTGTGACCAACTGCCCTCCCTCTTGACGCGTCTGTCTTGCTCCAGCCCAAAGACTGCCTCACAGTTTGCCCTGATTCCTTCATGTTCTCGCTGGATCATGCCAGCGTCTTCTAGGTGACGCTGGCTGAGAGAACTTCAGAAGATGAATATCTTGAAATAAACGGCAGGCAGGCGCCATGCGCTCCTCAGCCGCTCAAACAGAGCAAAGAGAGAGCTTACCTGCCTTCATTATATTTCACATGGCCATAAATAATATTCCATCAAGAGCAAATTCAAACGAAAAGCTCAGTGCTCAGGGCACATTTCCCCTTTTCTTGTCCTCTCCTTCCTCCCCCCAAAAAGTTTCTGTAGAGGCCAGATTTTATGAGTTGGAGCTTGCCAGGCTTGGCAAAGGGCTGCCCATTGAGAATATAAAAGCAACAGTTGAAATGCGCTAATTACTAGCAGCTTGCACAGCATAACAAAACAATGAGAGGCGAGTTATGCAAAATGCCAAAAGTACACCTCTTTCTTCTATAGCTTTTTTTAAAAAAAAAAATACAAAAAGGGAAAAGGGGCTCCAAGTGGCTCTCTTTCTTAGAATTGCCCAAGTTTTTAATTCTTTGTTCTTTTTCTTTGTTTCTTTTTCAAATCACCATGTTTCACATACAAGTATTTCACTGAATGACCAAGTTGCTGGTCCCTAAACATTAAACCTGTATCACTATTGTTGAACTAGCCACGTAACAAACTGGGTTCATACAAATGTTGACTTTGGCAGCTTTTATGGTGGCTTCTTTGGTTTACTTTATAATGCCTTGGTAGGACCACACTTGGAATACTGCGTCCAGTTTTGGTCACCGGGATGTAAAAAAGACGTTGAGACTCTAGAAAGAGTGCAGAGAAGAGCAACGAAGATGATTAGGGGACTGGAGGCTAAAAGAACAGTTGCTGGAATTGGGTATGTTTAGTTTGGTGAAGAGAAGAGAAGAGAAGAGAAGAGAAGAGAAGAGAAGAGAAGAGAAGGGTGAGGGGGGACATGATAGCAGTCTTCCAATATTTGAGGGGCTACCAAAAGAATAAGGGGGGGTCAACCTATTCTCCAAAGCACCTGAAGACAGGACAAGAAGCAACGGATGGAAACTAACCAAGGAAAGAAGCAACCTAGAACTAAGGAGAAATTTCCTAACAGTGTGAACAATTAAC